TGAGCTAGCTGGCTTAAGTGGTTAGATGTTGCAGTAATATTAGATTGGATCTGTATGAGTTAATGAACAGAGTATTTAAATAGGTAACTCACAGACAGATTATAGATATAACAGTATAGTGTAAAACTAATCAAGTAGCTTAACGCCTATGTGGCAGACTATTTAAAATAGATAATAACTAAAGTTATATATGTGGCTTATTGTATACTCTTTATGTAATTATAAACAGTAGGGATTATCAATGCATAATCCTGTTGACAATTCTAATAAAATTCTTTCAGCAATGTAAACTGCTTTAACAACAAAAAAAGAAAAATAATAATTTTCAAAAGTATATGTTATATTATCAGATACTTGTATTTCAACCTCATAGATCATTTTATTATCAATCTTTTCAGTTTGAATACCAATTTCACAAGTATTTTTTTCATAAGCATACTCTATATAAGCCTGCTTTTCAACTAATTTGTTTTTAAAATCAAGATGACATACTTGTTTATTTTTAAATAATTGTGAATAATTCATATTTGTAAGAACTTGTCATAAGAAATCAAATACAACAAGTTGATTATAATACTTTTCATATAAAGAAAAATCTTTTAAATATTTTTGAATTAGAATTAATTCAAGAAAAAAACTATTATACAATAGAAAGCAACTTTTTGCTAATTTACTATTTGCATATCATATTGTTTGTTACTTTTTAGTTTTATATTCTAATAATTTAGAACTATTATACAATAAAACCAAAGAAGCTAATACACAAGATAGTTTATATGCTGGTCATTGTTTATACTATTAATATTAACTTGATTCTACTAGTAAATTAGAATAAGTGTATTAAATGAAGTGTTAAATAAAAATCTATTATATACTATACCTGTCTGGCTCATATTTTTTTACTATATATTACAGCTTTGAATAATATTTCTAATTAAAAAAAAATAAATATGCTATAGTAAAAAAATTGTAGAACTAGTAATAATGATGTAAAAATTAAATAATTTCAAAGAACAAATTACAGGTCATACTTCTAAAGATTAAAAAAAAATTTTCAACAACAAAAAAACTTTATATTATAAAATAAAAAAGTATAGAGCTAGTAGCAGCAACTTAAAGCTTAGATAATTATTCACTTTTCAAGAAACAAGTATTTTATTTTAAGAGTTTGATAATTGTTTTAAATTTAGCATATGAAAAATATGAAAAACATCATAAATCAGGTAAAAAGGTATATCACACTAAACCTATAATTTGATATAGTATAATCTAAATATAGATATATTTCTTACTGTATTTCTAAAATAACACTAATTCATGCTTGATATATTTGATATTTTAGCTCTTGAATCAAAAAAAAGAAATAAATCTGAGTATTAACTAAAAAATAAAAAGAAATATTATATAGAAAAAACTAAAATAACATTATGTTATTCTTTGATTCAAGATTCTCTTCTTTTTTCAGATCTAAGATTATTTGAATTAATATACAAAAATTATTCTAGTCAAGATTCAAAGAAATCTATGATGTTTTACAAAATACATCTGCTTCTAAGATCTAAGAAAATTGGTATAATATTTTTTAAAATTTTTTTTTTGTCCTAATGCTTTGAGAAATTTACCTGGTAGTACTTCTTTAGTCAATACTGAATTTAAATTTGCATTCTATAACATAAATAAATATTATTTACAACTTGTATTTTTATATTAACTTAATAAAATAAACAATATTACCTACATCATAAACTATTCCTAAACTAGTCAGAACTGCTTTGAATTTGTAAATTTACTAATTTACCTCACCATTTTACTTGGCAGAGTATTTATTTTATTAATCAATTTTTTTCTATTCTGATATAGAGAAAATTAGTGTACCCTGAATTTATATAGATTTAATGTATTGAATAAATCAGTATCAAAATGACAGAATATACTTTTAAATTCTTATTGAGCTGATATAAGATTTGTCATATTCCTTGCTACCATTTGTTATATATTATAAATAATTTTATTAAACATAAAATAATTAATACAGTGTAAAATAAAATATTATTCTCAGGAATATTACTGTCTCTATAGGTAATGTTCTATAGTTAATATTCAGTTTTTTATACTGTTCATACTCTCCATGTGCATGTACTTTATTGATAGTTTACAGTTTTTTTTTTAAGTTATTTATTATTAAACTATGTATGGTTAGTAAGCGATTTGGTTAATAAAGATTATTTATATATATATTTAAGAAATTATTGGTTTAAAGATATTGTTTTTTTTTTATTAAGCTTACTCAGATACACATTTGACAATGACTGTCAAGGTCAATATATTAAAAATTGTTATTATAAATTCGAATTTATAGTTTAAATCTATCTTTTTGTTTAATAATTTCTAAATTTTTTTTTATTTCGAACTTGTTTCGATTAGCCAAAAATTAGCTAATAGGAATGAAAGCCTGCTATGTTGGCGATCCTGGGGTAGATTCGTTTAACCTCTTGCTCACGTGACCAACACCTTCCACTTGTGACCCAAGTAACCCGAGCCTTAATATCCCTCAGCCTAACCTAACACACATCTTTCATAAAGTTACTTACCCTTAGTCACGTGAGATTTTGTATTATTGAGCAACCGAGTCGCAACCCTTTTCCAGCCTTACATTATGATTATTAACAATATATTTACTAGTGCCGTTCTCAAACTCCCTTCTTAATGGGTTTACCAGATAACTTAGGGATGGGCAAATCGCGAATTTTTGGAATTTTCTGCGCAGCCTGCGCATGAAATGCGCATATCATCAAAAAAATTTTCAGCTGCCGCTTCACGGCAGATTCTCGATTTTGATTGGCTAACGGCTATGATCGACAAAATTTTGGCTCACGTTACATAAATTATGTAATTTTCGGCCGGAATTAACTTTTTTTATTCAAAAATAGAAATTTTGAGAAACTAGGCCTGCTCTACGCAAAATTAACACAGACATAATTTTCACTTAATGCGTAACTGTAATTTTGACCTATTGTCGCTCTTAACCAATTACAAAAATCGGTTGTAACAATTTTGATAGGCAGTTAGTTATATAGGAAATATTTTAAGATATCTTATCATAAAAATACTAGCGCTAGTAAAATTATTTATATTCAAAATTGTATTTATTACTTGTAGTCTTATTTAGATTTTGTATATAAATATAAAAAAATATCAAGCCGCATTATGCAGGCTGGCCAGAATTATGCTGGCCGGCCCGAGTTATAAAAAATTACACTGTGCAGTCTCAAAAATTCTGCGCAGTGGCCATCCCTAAGATAACTTGATTGGCTAAAAAAATTTATCGTGCTTGCCAATTAGGGAGCTGACAAAAATCAGGTGATTTTCTGGGGGTCGAAAAAATTAAAATTAAATATAGAGAACCTGATCAGATATATATTAAATCAGAGAGGGGAGGGTAAGCCTCTGATAAAAAAAAAATCAGGCTATTAATGACACTGCCCTTATAGATTGAAAAAACCTGAGCTAAAGATATAAATTTTTTTTTCATATAGTTACTTTGATTGGCTGAAATTTGAAATCTGAATTTCGCACAATGAATTTTTAACAACAATTGCTTCAATTAATCACAATGTTTGAGCAACAACTAGATTATTAGCAAATTACATTGAGGGAGTTGCTTGAGAACACCCTTAATTAGTCTAATAATCGATTCATCCGATCTAATTCTAAGAAAAGCAAATGACTAATAAGACATACATTTTCGTGAAAAATGACAAATAGTGTTTGGATAAAAAAGTTATAAATATTTAATAATAACCTCTTTTACATATGGCTCGACGGGGTTTGGGTCAAAATTGACTAACTAATGCGGGCTAATCTGTCGGGATTTTGACCTGGGATTCTGTTTGTCGGGATTTTGACCGGCTCCCGGCTCGACGTACATTCCATCAACGTAGAGTGGAAAACGATATTCAGGCACTCATTTCTCATTTAAGCGAAGATACGCATTACATTTGCGCCAGGAGACCACTATAAAAGCATAAAAACTTTCTTTGTAGAAATAAATATATTAGTTAGGTATATTAGAGACAGCCATAATAGGATCAGATGATATGTTAGGAACAGATGTATTAGCAATACAAGATGGAAAGATAATACTTGTTGAATTAAATACCTTCATTAATCCAATCAAGATAAAAGTTCGTTATATATATCATCACAGTTTGAAAAGTATTTTTGAAGAAACATCCTCAGTACGAAACCTCTTTCGGTAAAAAAAGGTAATTCGTGATCCGCGTGGGAACCAATGAATTATCATAGTAAAAAGTGGGATATGTTTACTGTATTTTTTGCCTTTTTTTGGAATCTGAAGCTTCCCGAAAGATAACTCATTTTTTTTATTAAGTAAACCTCATTTATGCTTCTAATAAAAATTATAGAGGAAAAAATTCCGGTTATAATTGTAGTTAAATTGCTAAAATCGGCCAAGTGGGTCACAATATATGAACGTTTTAGTCTTCGCGGCTATATGTTTACTTCTTTGTTTTGATCATATCAGATATAGTCGTGAAGACTAAAACGTTCATATATCACGATCCACCAGACCGATTTTAGCGTTTTAACTACTATTATAACCGGAAATTTTACCTCTATAACTTTGATTAGAAGCACAAATAAGATTTACTTAATAAAAAAATAAGTTATCTTTTGGGAAACTTCAGATTCCAAATTTAATAGTAAATTTTCCCACTTTTTATTATCTGTTATGATGCTTCACTAGTTCCCACGCTGATCATGAATTAATGTTAAATTCCCTGGCTAGGGAACATATTCTCACTTTATTGGTTCATTTTATTTCTTTTTAAATATAAAATATTAACCGGCATTGCAAGGTGTGCACCAGAGAGTTGTTGCATTAATAAAGTTCGTGTATGATTGTCAATTATAAAATAGAGATAATACAGTAAGTAGACACGAAATAATTGATCTATTATATAAAATTATATCAACTCATTCTAATTTCCTTCCATTCCTCCATAGGAGTCGTCTTCAGACTCTGGTAGAGGATCAATTCTTTGCACCGTAAGGGTATTAAGTTTCGTTAGGCTCAATTACTTTCATATGTTCATTATCAAAATCTTTTGAAGGCACTAAAGTATATTCACTAATTCCTTGTGTCTGAATTAGTGTTGTAGGCGAAACCCAATTTTGTATATCAAAATTGGGCGAAACTAGTTTCGGACTTATAGGGCGAAACTAAAGAATAGTTTCGCCTACAACATTAGTCTGAATTTTAAAGTAAGTGAAACACGAATGGGTTGTAATAATATATTTTTTCAAAAGATAAAAAGTATTAAAAATTGCTAAGAAGCTTTTTTCTTGTAACGAGTTAAATAAAATAAGAATAATGGTCACATGAGATTTTACAATATTTAAAATTATTCGGATCAAAATCATTGATCTTATTAATTAAAGTTAATTAAATTTTGAAAAAAACGAGTGAAACCTTTCGAAAAAGAAAAATAATTTCGGATCACAAGATAAGAACAGTGAATATCTAGCGCAAACTTTCAAATTAACATTACATTTTTTAACTTCTAAAATTTGGTTTTTAATTAAAAAAAAAAAAAGGTTATATAGGCAACATTAAAAATAAACTCGGCTATTATAATTAGAAAAAAATTCATTTAAATAGAATTTCGTGATAGAGAGATCGAAAGATTAGCAAAGTCACAAATTATTTATTTCATTTGATATCGTTAAAAAAAATTTTTTTTACAAGAATTTTCATTAATCTCAAAAAATATGTACCTAAATAATGATGGAAATATGTAAAATATAAGATATTATTAACAACTAAATAAAATCTGATCATATAATGTATTTGAGATCAAAATTATGTAAATCTATGTCGAATAATAAAAGTTCCAATTTACGAAATTTTTAATATCTCCAAAACACCTTTTTCCACATATTCTTCAAGAATTTCAAGAAATTTTTTAGTATGATTATATAAAAACTTAAGAGGTTTTCTATTTAATCTTATTTCGCAACAATCCAAAAAATATTTTAAAGCTTCAGAAGAATAATCCCAATGACCAGGACCCAAATATATACATCTTAAATCTTGAGGAACCACATCACCAATTTCTTTAAGAAATGTTCTAATTTTTGTCGTACTTACAGGACCACCAAGTAAATAAACTTCTTCAAGTAAATTGCAAGTTTTGAATAATCTTGGTATTTCAGAAATTACATCATCAGGAACATATAATCCTAATACTCTAAGATTTGGACAATTATTTATAATTGTCGTAAATAATTGTGAAGAATTACTAGGTCTATGCGGACCTAAGAGTATTTGAATTTCACGAAGACTACCATGAGTGCATTGAATTATAGGTATATATTGTTGAACATGAGCAATGTTTTCATCATGATTAATTTCTAATTTTGTGAGCTTAGAAAGATTTGAATTAATTATTAAACTATTCTCAGAGATTAAATTATCTGATGGAGGAATAACGAGTCTAGACCTTGCATTAAGAAATCCATAATGATTGTAACGTGCACGGTATAACATTTGATTATAAATTGACGATGACCTTGATTTCTCGGTACTGAGATCACTTCCATAATATCCAATACAGATAATAGAAAATTCTTTGATATTCGGAATTTCGTAAAGAATATTAATGAAACTTATTCTGATAGAACAGTGAATGAAAATTTTTTGAAGATTATTGAAATTTGATCTAAGAGCGTCAAGGTATTTTGAAGTAATATCTGAATAAAAGATAAAGAATTGTTCGAGTTCAGATTGTGCATGAATTATATCCAATATCATGTTTCTATTTTTGCGACTATTAAAGATTTCAAGGGTTCGAAGAGATTTCGTAATTTGAGCCAATGAAGGCAGTAAGAGAGAAGTTTTATCTGCTAAAAAAATAATAAAAAATAAATTAAAAATAAATTAAAAATTATAAATAGGAAGAAAAATAAATAAATAAACACCTCGACAACGAAGTCTTTTCAAACGCGAAAGACAAGAAATTGCGCCAGGTATTTTGGAAATATCGTTATAGATCACTTTAAAATCATCAACTTTTTCATCATTTTCAATTGTAAGAGTGCAGCACTCAAGAGAATCAACACACGAAGATTCATGAAGAAATAATTTGATCAACTCTAAATAAATGAATTCGCGTTTCTTATAACTATTTCTAGTAATAAGAGTAAAAGTAAGGTTTATAGAATCAAGAAGAAGTAAAAGATTTAAAGATCTTAAGAAGGAAGCATAATTAAAAGTAGTGGTAAAATGTCTCTTAGACATTACGTGATTGTTTTCAAAATTAACTTTGGAATCATCTGATAACGATGATAAGTAAATATTGATAATCTGTTTTATCTTTATCTGCAGTTCTAATCTTTTATAATTATTATGAACAAAATCTAACGGATTTTGCCAAAGAATTGGCGCTGTATTTACACACCAAGTACGATTGACTAAAACGCAGGAATGAAGAGAGGTTACATCAAGCTCTTTAAAAATATTTCGAAATATTTCGGGAGGAAATGAAAAAGCCATGTTTACTGCAAATTATTACAAGTGAGTTTTTTTGATCTAATTTATATGTGTCACATGTACGTTGCTCAAGATCACATAATTGGAGTTAGCGGAGTTTTTAAATGATTGTGCTAACTTCTGATCAAACCCGACAAAATAAAAAAGAAAGATATCAGATATACTATATAAAAAATGGCATCTGAACCCGTTTTGATGCATTAATAACAAAATGTTGGGAAGGTAATATTTCTAATCCTATTGATAAAAAATTAGATAAGCGTTAAATTTGATTCTCTGCTTTAACCTAAAATCCTAGCGTTACCGATCCGAAAAATTTCGTTATAGTATTAGTGTTAGGGGTTAAGTTTATTTTTTTTTTTGGTTTAATACCTGATTATGAAATGTTTTAACCTGATAGCGAAATTTTTAGGTCACATAACTGGAAAGTTTATCAAATTTATTAATTTTAATAAAATTACAAATATACAAATCGTGATTCTTTCGGGCAAATGTTAAAATTTTGCATCAAATCAAAGAAAATGATTCATTTATTTGTCTGTGTATAAACTCTTGAGTTATAGGTTTTCGTATATTTAATTATTATTATTTTTTTAAAAGAGTTCACAAACATATTAATTAACATCTTTATATTTTTTTTCATATGATACACGTTAAACATTACACCATACAGACCAAAAGATTGATAAAATAAAAATAAAGTTCTATATACATTTAGGTTCAAACAACAAAATTCAGTTTTCTTGAACCTCAAGTTAACTCAATTCGTTCACAACCGAATTTGGTTATACCTAAATAATAATAAATTTTTTTTTTTATCTGGCATAACTTTTATTTTTTTTGGAATATCTTTATTTTTTTGGAATATCTTTATAAGTTGCATACTACGTACATAATTTTGTATGATCATACCAGGTGTCTATGCCAAAAAGATATCAGCAATAAAAATATACTTTAGATTTGTATAAAATTAAGCTTACTATAAATATAGTTAAAATTTTAGTCATTTTAGAAATAATTTTGATTTATAGAACTCACACATATATATGAGTTTAATCATGCAATAAAAACTTAAACGATACGACCCACGCTTTAAACAATTAAAGATTTTTTATTTTGATTCTAATTCCTTTGATATGTCTTTAATAATGATATTATCGCTATTTACTACTACTGTATGTATTCGTTACTTTGTTGTTGTTCAGTAATTTGTTGTCCATTAATATAGCTAATAAATTTACTACTATATATTTCACTACCATAAGTGTTAGCATAAAATGTATACTTTTTTTATCTCTATTACTTCTCATAATAGTCGCATAAACTTCAAAAGCTGATGGTCGTTTATCTGGATTACTATTCTAACACTTTTCTAAAAAATTTGCATAGCATAACGTTGTTCCTTTGATAATTTCGGTCTTAAATCTCGATGCCTAAACTTAAGTTATTAAAATTATTATCATGTTTATATTCAGAAAATGCGATCCTTCCCGAAGAAATTTCCCGTAAACGCCTCGAGATTCTGCCTTTAATGCCTTGTTAGCTAACGTTGCAAACCCTAAATCTCCAATATATGCATTATATAAGTCATTTTGAAACATGTTGCATTATATTATTCGAATGAATTATCATAAATAAAGATCAAGTGCAATATATGTATGTTAATAATTCTAATTTTCTCTCCCATGACATTTGTGCAATATTTGAAAGATTTTGACGTAAAGACCCCATAGGTGCATATTGTAAAACTGCATATTTATCGGTGATTTCATTTTTTAATATTCCATAACATCCATTAAAAAATTTAAGGGCGATAATTAATTTCTGTGTTCTATTTGTTCCATTGTTAAATAAATGTGTCCACTCGGTAGAATATACTGTTGAAAACCCTCCTTTTCCAATTTTTTGTATAATGCTTAGTTCACTAAAAGGTATTCGTGTTATTAACAAATTATTCTCAAGAAATAACCTTTGGAAATAATTATCCACGTTTTGAAATTTGCAAACATTTAGATCGTTACTTATATTGATTTTTGCTTTTAATAACCATTCAATAGCTTTTTCTTGATTCGTTATGTTCCAAAGCCATTTCAGTAACATAATCTAAGATTCTTTTGTCCAGCTGGATTTCTACTTTTTGCTGACTTTGAATATCACTTAAATGCTTTCACTTCATCCTTAATAGTACTTTCGCCATATTGGTAATATACACCAACAGTAGATTGCGCCGCGGAATTGCCACTTTCATCAGATTTTAAATACCATTAAAATGCCTTCTTTTCATCATTACCGGTACCTATTCCATGTTTATAGCAGAATCAAAGACTACATTCAACCACAAAAATTGGCACTTTTTAGAAGATTTTAAATGCCATCTTTTCATATTTAGCAGTACCTATTCCATATTTATAACAGGATCCAAGATTACACTGTCCATTCGAATTACCACATTCAGCAGACTTCAAATACCATTTAAACGCCTTCTTTCATCCTTAACGGTACCTATTCCATATTTATAGCAGTATCCAAGCTTGTATTGCCCAAAATAAACACCACATTTTGCTAATATTTCTATTGAATTTTTGTAAAGTAAATATTAATAAAATATAATTAGTTGAAAATTTTTAAAAATTTTAATAAATTCAAATCTTATGTACCGTTCGTAAGTATATTTATGATGGAACCATTCTTTAGAAAATGTTAAAAGTTTCAATTATATTTGAACTTTTAATTGCTTCTAATGAATGCTTCTTGGTTACGTCTCAATTTTTCTCATGTTTATCAAGTTACTTTTAATTATGATATTACAACAATTTTATGCAAATATTATTTTCAAATATTCAAATATCATTTTTGAAACAGAAGAATTTCTTACTTTTTCTGAAGATATTTTAATTTTTATCGTAAAGCTTAATAACCTACAAATAGATGAAGAAAAAAATTTGGGATTATATTATTAAGTGGGGAATTGCTCAAAATCCTTCTTTACCTCCTAATTCTGATCAATGGTCTGATGAACACTAAAACTTTAAAAAATTCTCTTCAAAATTACCTTCCATTAATTTGTTATTTTCAAATATCCGGGGAAGATGTTATTTAGAAAATTCGACCTTATCAGAAAATTCTTGAACCAACCTTGTGAACTGACATTATGATAAACTTTATGACAACAAAAAATGTAATATTGATTTACATATATTACCTCCTTGAACTATTATGTCTTCAACTCTACCTTCACACAATAGTATTCCCTATTGTTAATGATACATAGAAATTGAATTAAATAACATATCAGAATTAAGAAAAAATAGAGAAACTTATCATATAATTAGTAAATACGAATAATCACTTAAAAGACTTGAACCAAATAATGTATTGCATTAAAAAATTGAGGAATTGTATATATTGAGATGAAAAAATATAATGAATCATTTGTGGATTTGATTAAAACATTAGTAATTAAATCAAATGATATGGATACATGGAAAATTTATATGATAAACAGATATGAAGAATCACTTGCAGATTTAAATAAATCACTGGAAATTGAACCAAATAATACATTTGCATTAAGTAGACATGAAGACACTTATCGTATAATGAGCAGATATAAAGAATCACTTGTAGATTTAAATAAATTATTAGAAATTGAACCGAATAGTTCTTTTATATTAGGAATTCGAGAAGCTACTTTTTCTAAGATGAAAAGATATAATGAACCGTTTGTGGATTTGACCAAAGCATTAGAATTTTAGCTGAATAATGTATTTGCATTAAAGAGTTGTGGAGATGTTTACCATAGGATGAATAAATTTAAAAAATCACTTTCAGATTTAAATTATTAGAAATTAAACCAAATAATGCATGAGCATTAAGAAGTTATGAAGAAACCCCATTGTAGAAATCAGGTGATTAATAGATTTTAGACAAATATCGTACACTCTGGGTAGTTATACAACCAATCAGATTGCGAAAATTTTTTTATTAAGTAAACTATCTTTGGGCTTCTAATTAAAATTTTAGTACCTAATTGTATATATAAATACCTTCCCTAACCCTAACCTTAAACTTTAAAGATTAATTAATATTTATAAAAAATTTTATGATATCACCTAGAGTATAAATTAGTAAATTCTACACTTTTTAATCCAAATATAATACTAACTCTAGCTCTAAACTTAAATTTAAATATTTATTTATTTTCTTTAAAAATAGAGTATCACACTTTATAAATTAAAATTTAAAAAGACAAATTTGATTAATAAAACTCAAATAAAATTAAATTTGATTTTAATTATGCAATAGGAACTTATATGATACACCCACGTTTTAAACAATATGTCTTTAATTCCAATATTATCGCTATTTATAATAAATTCATTACTTTGTTGATTAGTAATTTGTTGTTCTTCAATATATTTTATAAATTTGCTACCATATATTTCACTACCAAAAGTGTTAGCATTCGACGTATAATTTTTTAACATAATCTCATCAAATTTCGATAATTCATAAAAAATGTTCGCATCATTTTTCCAACTCATAAAAGTTTCATGAATTTCTAAAGCTGATGGTCGTTTTTTAGGATCACTATTACAGCACATTTCCAAAAGATTTACATAGCATAAAGTTGTGCCTTTAATAATTTGCGGCCTTAATCCTTCACAAATTTCGAAAGCTAAGCTTAAATTATTAAAATTTTTATCATGTTTATATTCAGAAAACGCGATCCTTCCCGAAGAAATTTCCCACATAATTATTCCAAGAGAATAAATGTCTGATGCTTTTGTGAAAGGTTTTCCACATAGAATTTCAGGAGCCATATATGGTAAAGCTCCATAAACACCTCGAGATTCTGCTTTTAATGTCTTATTAGCTAATGTTGCAAATCCTAAATCGCCAATATATGCATTATATAAATCATTTTGAAATATGTTGCCGCTATACAAATCACAGTGAATTATATTATTTGAATGAATTAATTTAAGATCACGTGCAATGTC